CCCAACTTTCCTGTGCCTTTTTCCCCCAAGAAAATTGTACTCGTCAATCATTCTCATCCTAAAGTCCCTTGCTGTTCTACCCTTCTTCCTCCAACCTATTTGGTACCAGTGAGAAAATAAGGAATTTCCTTCCATCCATTCTACTTGTCAACCCAGGGTCATGATACTGACAGTGGGCAAGAATTCCTCCTGTTCCCTCTAAAGCCATGTCTCCTCCCATAGACTGTTCCTGGGCTAAGGGCCTCCCACAGCTCACCACATTTCTGAAGCCCCCACACACTCCTCAGGTCACTATTTCTGAAAATGGAGGAGTTTTATAATCCTATTATCTGTTCCTGGCTCAGAGTTACAAGGGAGATCTGAGGGAGTTGACAAGTTTTGGGTCAAGTGTTCTATTTTGTTTTTTTTTTTTTTTTTAATTTTTTATTGTGGGTTGTTCAAAACATTACAAATTTCTTGACATATCATATTCCACACTTTGATTCTAGTGGGTTATGATGCCTTCCAAACTAATAGAACAACCTGCCATCAATAGAATGATTAGAGAAGCTGTATTTATAGGTATAATCAGCAAATAATACTACCCCTGACAGTTCTCTCTTGGTAGAAATGGCTAGGAATATGTGAAAGTAGATATTCAGTCACCTTATTGTTTGTTTATGGTAATATTCAGCATATCTTCAGAATCTTTAATTAGGACTTTTCTTCAGTATCTAGGTTACTTCCCTTTACTCACCAAACACTTATAGAGGGAAAATAGAAAGTGCACATCATTAGTTTAATTCTAATTTTTATAATGAGACCATATGAAATAACCCAATTTTAATTTTATATATCATACAAATAATTGAAAGTGCTGAAAATGAAAAATCAACACTTGCAGGACCCCCTAGTTCATAAAGCACCTTTACATATATTATCTTACAACCTACATTTCTGTAAAATAATCAGGACAAATACTTAGTTTCTTCATTTTATAGAGAAAAGAGCCTGAATCTCAAAAATGTTAAATTAATATTCAAGATCATGGTACTTGAGATTAAACTCAGGGCCTCATGCATGCTAGGCAAGTGCTGTATCATTGACCTAAATCCCCGTTTCTTTTCTTTTCTTTTGTTTTGTTTTATTTTATGACAGGGTCTTACTAAATTGCCCATGCTGACTCTGAAGTTGAAATCCTCCTCCTCAGCCTCCCAAGCAGTTGGGATTACAGGCATGTGCCCTCATACCCAGCTTCAAGTTCATGGTACTTTCATTTACTAGATGACTTCAAACAAGACACTTGATTCCCAGTGCAGTTTTCTAAACTGTAATAAAACAATTAAAATAGTGTCTACTTCATAGGGTGTGTGTGAAGATGAAGTGAGTTAATACATACAAGGCATTTAGGTCAGTGCCTGGTGTAAACATTCAATAAATGTTAGCTGTTACTATCATACAGCTAGTAAATGTTAGGACTTGTAGCTAAATCCAGCCCTCCTGACTCCTGATCCAGGACTCTTCTTGGATCAGGAGTACCGTGTGGAATTTACACTTTAGTAAATCATTGATTTAATTTCTACCTTACATTGACCTTGTTATTCTTGAGGATATCCTTTTGTCCATTATTTACTTTGACCTTATATTTACTTGTCAAGATCTAAGGGGGGGCTGGGGATGTGGCTCAAGCAGTAACGCGCTCGCCTGGCATGCATGCGGTCCGGGTTCGATCCTCAGCACCACATACAAACAAAGATGTTGTGTCTGCCGAAAACTAAAAAAGAATAAATAAATATTTTTTAAAAAAAAGATCTAAGGGGAAATGGGTTTGAAGAATTCTTTCTTCCTGAGTTTAAAAAATTCTATAATGTCTCTTGTCATCAGGATATGCTTGACCATGAGGTATCAAGCATTTTAGTTAGGCAAGGTTTTCGTGGATGGCTTATGGGTATTCTGGTAAATTTTATTTTGGTGGGAAAAAAAGTGGAAGGAAATTGTTAGATTACAGCTCAGAGGGGTGTTCAGACACATCCTTTATCTGTAGTCCTAACAGATATTATCAATATAGAGACTTTGGAAAAGATGAATTGTTTTGACACAAAATTATTTGTTGTAAAATAACCATCCTGAAGAAATTGGTAAACTGTGATGGACTGTTACCTGGGAAAGGTGAAAAAGGTTTTTATATGTCTTTTCTCTTGGTATTAATATTTGTAACAGGCTTTTACTTGTGAATCATAGTTGTTTTTACTTGTCTACTGCTAGTGTAGACATCTATGGCTATGATATAGGTCTATGTGAAAATCTGCTTGCTTTTGTGGTAACTACTTAGGTGCTATGGAGAGACAACTTCCCTTTCTCTGATGCTCAAGGGTGACTCAAAACTGGAGTTGATGTGGGAGATAGCAGAGAGGGTGAGCAGTGGTGTGGAAGAAAGGTGCTGTCAGCTGGAGACCTTCCAGAGGCAAGGAACTGGAGAAAGCCCCAACTCACTGAGTACTGTACTACTCAGATACACTCCCTTCTCCTTATTATGTTTTATTTTGAGGTAGGGTCCTGCTAAGTTGCCAAGGTTGGCCTGGAACTTGCAGTCCTCCTGCCTCAACCTCCCCAGTTGCTGGGTTTATAAGCATGTGTTGCCATGCTTGGCTTCCAGGCCTTTTTGATATGACTGTGCATAATGTACAAACAAATGGGCTCCTCTCCAAGGGTAAGATGCTCAGTATACTTCCTTATGACCTTTGTGGAAGTTCTGTACCAGAATTTAGCCTGGTAAGATAGGAGGTTTAAGGGGACTTTCCAGACCTCCTTTTTGTAATATTTGCATTTTTTTAACTGACTCATTTCTAATATTCTCTAGACATGTAGAATTAATGTTCTTACACTAAATTAAGACACTGAATTTCTAATAAAGTCCCCAGGACTTGTTGATAGTTTGATACTGTTTGCAAAAGAGAGGAGAAAGAAATGATGTATTATCTTTTCTACTTTTTCAGTTAGGTTTTATTTTTCCTGCCTAGTCACCTACTGAATCTTTTGACCCAGCTAGCCTGGGAACAAAGTCCAGAAAACAGCTCTAAGTCCTAACTCTAGAAAGCCTCTTTCTTGTAGCTGCCAGCCCACCCATTCAGCTAGGTGCATTCGCCTGTGTGCTGGCTTTTGCCTGTTACAATGGCCACTTCCTGGTGTTTTGTGAAGTAGCTCATCTTTTTCCTGCTGTGCTTACCTGAATACTCTCTATGTGGATGAAGGTTTGAAGAAAAGTCTAAATAAAAGAACAGCAATTACCACTGCTGCTGTCATTATGTGACAATTTTATTACCTACCGGGACACAAGAGGACTTTGATTTATAGCCAGTTGATTGTGAATTAAAAATCTTTGTATGATGTATAAGAATCTTCTGTATATAGGGGTTCTTGTCCTTCTCCACCAGTTACATTGTTCCAACACACAAAGCACCAGAAAACAGTATTGGTGATGATTTTCTTTGAGGTCAGTAGCAGGACTGGGAATTGGGGTGACAGCTGAGAGATTTAGCAAAGCTATTAGGGTTGTAAAGAGGATGAATAGTTGAGTAATCAGGCTTAGACTTGCTCATGATGGGCCTTTGCTCAGCTGCCATTCATGAATGCCATTGTGGCAACAAGTGTCAGAGTTGGCCCCCTGAACATCTGTTGTTCTCTTTGAAGTCTTTGCCGATTCTCCTAAATCAGAGTCCTCACTCCTCAGGGCTCCTGTGGCACTGCCTCCGGCCCACCCCACTTTTCTCCCTCAGCTTTGTAGTTATAGTTTTGTTCAAATGTCTGCTTATTCTGCTCCATAAGTCTCTTGACTTCAGGAATCTGGTCTCACTCATTTCAGTGTTCTCATAATGCATAGACCGTGTCCCACTTGTAATAATTAATCAATAAATCTTACTGAATTAAACTATCAATAGGTTGACTATAGTTCACAATGAGTTGTTTATTTTTATTGGTGTTGGGGATTAAATCAGGGCTTCTCACATTTAGGCAGTGTGCTCTATCACCAAGTAATACCCTCAGCCCTATATATTTTCTAAAGAACTAGGATAGAGAAGTTTAAAGCTTCCCAACACAAAGAAGTGATAACTGTTTTAAGGAGAGGAAAATGCTAATTACCTGTATTTGATCATTATACATTATACATATGTATCAGCTTATGACACTATGCCCCTAAATATGTACAATTACTGTGTGCAATAAAGGATACAGTTTTAAAAACTGATTGTGTCCAGGGAAATCCTGCAATTAATGTTCATGTTTATAGATAATATATTATGCTAGGAAGGTAACCCTAAAAAAAGTAGCAGTAGTAGCAGTTTTAATATGTAAAAAACAACTTTGTTGAGGTATAATTCACATACTATACAGTTTACCAACTTAATATGTATAGTTCATTGTTTTTTAGTATGTCCACAGAGTTTTACAACCATCACCACAGTCAATTTTAGAAAAGTTTTATCATTCCCAAAGGAAACTCTGTGTCTGTTCCCTCCAGCCCTCCAGTTACAGATACCACTAATCTATTATTTGTCTTAATTTACCTATTCTGGATATGATATTTTGGTCTGGCTTCTTTCAGTTAGCATAATATTTTCAAGGCTCATCCCAGTTGTATCGTATAGCTTGGTGGAAATTGGAGGCAAGTGATGCTTATTTCCTGGCTGCTAGTTGTGGTTCATGCCCAGGGTGAATCTACCTGCCCTCATTAATCATGATGAGACCTAGTTAGAAGAAATTCCATAGAGGTGTTCTGAGCTTGCTCCCCTGAGTAAAAGGTAATGTTGGAGCACCCAGCTAGCTCAGTCAGGGATGTTTAAGCAAGGTAATGTCATGCACACCTAGCATAGTGCCTGGCACATGGGGGTCTCAAGTCTCTTTGTCGTCCCACTTGAATGTCTTAAATTTTAGTAAAAATTTGTCAAAATGAAGCAACAGACAGGTACTTTGAGTTTAATTTACTGATTCCTCCCTGTCCTTTTGTTTTTGTTCTCCCCAAGGCTATGCGTTTCTGCTCTTCCAGGAGGAGAGCTCAGTACAAGCCTTGATAGATGCCTGCCTAGAAGAAGATGGGAAACTGTACCTGTGTGTGTCAAGTCCCACCATCAAGGACAAACCTGTAAGTAATATGCAGCCACCTGGTGCTTTTCCAGAGCATGTATGCAATTGGAATAACTGACCACCTCCTCCTTATATCAGGAATGCTAGTAACTGCAATTCTCTTACCTGGGTTGACCTTGCTGTGCAATAGAGCTGGACTATTGCTGGTGATGGGAAGCTAATAACAAATTGTTCCAAATTTCATGTTATACTTTTGGGACCACACAGAAAAATATGTTCCCTTGTCATCTACTTTACAGCTCTGATAAACAAATTCCTATTTAAAGAAACTCTGAATCAGAATAAAAATGATGTTCTTAGTGGTCTTTGTAGTTGGTTTCTGTCATTATTTCAGATCAAGGACAGAAGTAATTTGTTTTAAAAATATCATAATTGTTAATGTTATGAGCCTTTGAATGTATGGCTTTGTGTGGAATGATACCCATAGCTGGCAAAATGAGCTTTCTGGGCAGGAGCTTACACTCTAAGCTAGAGGATTTCAACAGGGCAAGAGAGAGAGAGGATGGAGATTATGGAGCTGAAACTATAAATTAGTGTGTACTTATACAGAATTTGTGGTTAAGAGATTGTGGCTCTTGAGCCACAGTGTGAGTAAATCATTAGGTGAAAAAGGTACTAGTAGAGAAAGAATAGGACTATGTTCAAATCAGAAGAAAAGAGCTTGGTTTAATTAGCAGATCCATGGGAAGTTGAAAGGGCAGGGTGGGGTCAAGGACTGGTGCTAGCATAGGAAATAGAGTAAAAATGGTGATACAGAGTAGGCAAGAGGATGAAGCTACATTATCACTGTAAACTTGCATCAAAGATATAGGGCTTGCTTTGACAGGTCAGTATATTCTGAGACATGTGTCTGGGGAAAGAGTTGGGGTTTGACCTTGAAGTTCCCAGTTTGACTCTTGACTCTGTCATTTAAATATCTCTTGGCTCAGAATAGTCATCTGATCCTTGCTGAATTGTAGTTTCCTCAGGTAGTAAATAGGAAGAACTGCTGAGAGCCATAGCCAAGTAGGAATGACACATGGCAATTTCCTTGTCAGCCTACCCAATGTTGCTTAGAGGGAGGACTCTCCATTGTGGAAATGGGCTTGCCTTGGACCCAGGTCATTTGCAGTGACATTGCATGAATGTTTGAGAGTTTTGGTTGAAAGGTGACCCTGCTCAGGGATTAGGGTGGATCCGGGTTTAGGGTGGATCCTGCTGGGAATAGGGCATATCCTGCTGCCTCAGACTCCCGCTCCTGGAGTTCCTGTGGAGTTCTCGCGGGGTTCTGAGAGTATTTGGTACGCAGAGCCTGGTGGAGGTGAATTTTCCCAGAACGTGCGTGTAGAGTGCCAGTGAGAGTTCGGGAATAAAGAATTGCTGTTTGAATCTACAAGGCGGTGTGGTGGCCCAGTTATTTTGTGCCCATCCAGACTTCGGCAAAGAACATTCATTCTTCTCTGGATTATTGAGAGACTCGAATAAGAGGAGAATGAATGTGAAAACATTTGGTTAAGGTCAGGTACTTGTGCAGATGTAATTGGCTATTGTTATCAGTCCTATATCATGCTCTGTGATTCAGGAGACCAAGGTTAGAGTCCAGCTACATCTTTTGAAAAGAGCAGGGTTTACAAATGGTTGTGAAACAATGATATTGAGAGTTGGTCACCTATAAAGGGGAGAGTGCAGCATATAAAGCAGAAGAGGGAATTGCTGAAGAATGGGGATATTGAGTTATAAAAGAGTGATTAATGCTGAAAAAGAAACAAGGATTTTAGCCAGTGGGAAAGTGCCACTGTAATTTTCAAATTCTGGGACCATTGCCAGATTTTTGGATAACAACAATGACTGTGTTGGATAGGGTAGCTATACAGGTGGGGAAACAGCAGGTGGGGAAAAGAGTAGAGAACCTTTGTTATCTTTGCTCTTTAAACAGTCTGGAGGGATTGTATGTGATGTGGGAGATGTGAGGAATGACAGAATGGAGTGTGCAATATTTCATCTGAATAAATAATAAAGCCAAAATAACTTCTTTTTCTTTTGAGTAATTTGTGTGCCAAATTCGATAGGGTCAAATGTCTGAGAGGTAAATAATCAACCTCCAAAGAGTTTTTGCCACTGGTGGAAGGGTAGTGGGAATGAAATAGGAAGGGTTAAGATAGAATTGGTCATGTGCAATTAGGAGAGGATTAGAAATATATTTTTATATTAAAAAAGACAAAGGTGTACAGGTGTACATTGAGGTAATTATGTTTACAGTAGGGAAGAAGCTATTAAATTGAGGTGAAGAAATTGGAAATGAGCAGGCAAGGCTTATAGACCTTGGATGAGTCATGTCACTGGCTCTCTAGGGGAAGGAGAACAATGTACCTTACAATCTCTCATGTGGACAGGACTATCTTGAGCAGGGAGCAAGCTATAATGGGTATTTTCACTCTAAACACATGTGTTACCCTTAGTTTAAAAAACTTTTGAAGATAATTAGTTTAATTATCTGTTTTGGAAATGTTTGTGGGGAAACTAACTTTCATTGTTTGTGTGTCTGCAAAACTCTGCCTTACTGCATTTTTCATTTTCTGAGCTCAATTGAAATAGTTTTATTGGAGCTTGGTGAATCTCAATGGTGGATTGCCAATCACATATTTCTTAGACCCAGGCATACTCAGAATTTCCACCATAAATAGTTTGAAGAAAATTTAGGATGGGAAAAAACATCTCTAGACACCTGTCATTTTAACAAACTAAATCCCATTTTTGGTTCCAGCTCTTTTGGTATCATATTTGATATCCCGTTCTTGGCATTAGCTCTATATCCACCACTCCAAGCCTCATTTGGTGAAATAGGTTGTGGTACATTCCACTTTTTTGTGAATGGTCCCACAGAAAGTGAGAGCTGGGTTGAACCTTTAGGAGTACATGAGGACCTTGGAGAAAGCTATTGGAAATTTCCAAGGAAAATTCAACCTTTGTAGCTCATTCACTAAACTTTTTGAGCTATGGCTCTTTATTATTCCTTTATCTTGGCTTGGCTAGCCTTCATTTGCTAGCTTCCAGGATCCCAGTGCCCTCATTCTTACCCTCCTTGGAGTTTTTCATTGGAAACACAACATGTTCCAAAATGGCCTAAAGATTTTCTATACTTTGTCCTTCTCCCTTACCCTTTCCCCTCAAATCACACTCCCATTCTCTTCAAGTGGGTCAGATCAGTTAGATTGTTTCCCTAATGTAGAAGCTGATTGCAAAGTCCCTTCTAACTTATCTTGTCCAGAGTCATGTTTGTTTGTTTGTTTTTATTGTTGTTGTTTTGTTTGTTTTTTAACTCAAATGAATCCCAAATTGATGAACTTTAGGTTATATTGGGGAGATATTTTTGGTCAATGATTATCTTCCATTAAATGGAAGTCTACTCAGACTCTCCCATTTATAGGACTGATCCTAAAAGATGGCAGAAGGAATTGTATTTTGGGCCTGATTAATTGACTTCTCGGTCCCAAAGAATGGGAAGAGAAATTGGCAAGAACGGGAGCTATTGCAAAACTTCTAGGTATGTGACTTTTTTCACTCCTTAAGTAAGAGAAGTTCCATAGGACAGGTGTCCCAGGCATCCCAGAAGACAGCTGTGTCTGTGTGCTTCCAGTAAAGCAGCCTTTGTGTGAGTGTTCCCTCTCATCAAGGTGATTCTACTTTTTGAATGTATGAATAGATGAACCTGAAGTTCAGGACAGCAAGCTGATAGAGCAAGAGATCTAGCAGAGATAAGAACTGAAAAAGAGTAAGCTTGAGAAGAAGGCAAAGGAGATGCTAATAATTCTTATCTGCTAGAACACTGCCATAAGAGATGTGGGATGGCAAACACCTGGAAAGGAGTATCAGTGAAGTTTTCTGCTTCCTTGTCACAATCTAAAGCACAATCACAATTTATATGAAATATGACAGATTGATTTTGCTATATGTTTAAAAACTGGATTACTGAATTGAAGTGTATTTATGTAGGTTAGTTCTTTAGCTTATAGCTCAGGGAACATAGTCATCCACCTAAAACTTGAAAAACAAAAGTTGAAAAAAGTGGGGATAAAGTAAAGAAGCTGGAAATAGAGGCTGGTTTAATTTTTCAGTTTTTAATTTTGCCCAATCTATCTATTATTCTGGTCTCTCTTGCTCCTACTTAAACATACATCAGGGAGATCTCTAGCACTTTTAATCATTCCTCCTTGGTTATGAAAACAATTTAGATCCTTTTGCTTGGAATTAAGACCTTCCCAGTTGATCTTTAAAATTTTTCTAAGCTTACCTTTTTCTGCTTTTCTTTGAACCCCATATTCAATCAAAATGAAATATTTCTACTATCTCAAATTCTAAAGCCTACCCTAATTTCTAAGACCCCTCTTAAATGCCATCTCTTTCCTCCTGGATTACTACACTGTCTGTAGTGAAGCATACCTATTATGATAGCTGTCTCCAGCCCCACATAGAGCCATCTTTTTTGAATAGTGTGCCTTCCATGTTTGAGTGACTACTGAGGTTAAGGCAGAATACTGGTTACTGTGAGTCAGAACGGATATGAACCAACATAAGAATCTGTGCTCAAAAAGATAATAGTATAACAGGTAGATAAAACATGTATATAAATATAGAAAGTATTTACTGATCCTGGCATGTATTCTCAAATATTTGTTAAATTAATAAAAATGACAAAAATGAAAATATGATGATACACATTGTAGACTTTGGACAATTCATTTATACCTACAGGAATGAAAGAAAACTTCCTAGCTGAAGTGCCATTTGAACTAGGTCTTCAAGGATGATAATTCAGAATTGCCAGGATAAGGGTAGATGTATGGGGAATAAATATTTCAGGGAAAGGCCTCAGCATAAACATAGAAATGGGAACTTTAAAAAAAAAAGAAATGGGAACTTTTGTGATATTAAAGGAGGATGTGTAGGTTAGTTAGTTGAAGCACAAATGTATGAAAGGGAACAGAAAGAAATTGGGGGGAAAAAATAGATAGAGTCTAA